CCTTTCAAACATCCATTATAGCAAAAACAAATAAAAACAAAAAATAATTTGTTCGTAAAAATCAGGTTCGCCTCGATTCGAACGTCAAATTATTCGATTCATTTCAGACTCTGACAACTTATATGTAATATAAAGCAGCACATTTCGATAAACTAGCGTCATTAATACCGTTGTCGATCTGATGCAAAACATCTTAACTAAATCAAGCTAACATCTCCAACGGCTAGCCAATGATGTGGTGTATTAATAAAACCTTTTTTCATACCTTCTGGTGTTTGACATGATTTATGTAATTCTTTGAGAATTTTTTGTAATTTACCATAATCTTGTAAATCTTCATATAATTTTCCTAATTTTAAATTTGTTTTGAACCATAAACGTTCATTTTTTGTTTCCTTTAATGCTCCAAGAGTTGTTTCATAAAATTCTTGTAATAAATTCATTTGTTTTGATGTTGAAATATAATCCAAAATAGAATTGATTGATTTTTCACTATAATTACGTGTGACAGCCGATTTAATATATGTTAACAATTCTTTATATGCTAACATCATTTCTGTATAATTTTGTAATTTAAAATGTATTTTAATCATTTGTTTTAATGCTTTAAAACCCCAATCACCTTTCTCACCAGATTTTTGTAATTGTAATACTTTTTTAAAACTTTCAATTGCGGCCAATGGATCATCTTCTTTAAGAGCTTTTGAATTATAATATTGATTTTCTAAATCAACATCCGGTTGTTCACTATCATCGGTATAAGATAATTCAAAATCATCATTGCCCGCAAAATCATCATCATCCATGTCAGACATGATGAATAAACAATGACTAACAAACGAAGAGAAGCGAGAGAGAGGTGGAGTTTTATCTAAATTCAATAAAATAAGTATAAAAACTTTTTATATCCTAAAAAAAAAGATCATCGTATCATACATGAAATCTAAAAATTAGATATCGCCCAAGGACATTTTGTTTGTTGTCTTCTATTTCTAAAACTGTATTCCTTCTCGACCAGATTAAATGAAAAATTACAACAACATTTTAACCGTTTAATTCATTTTCACAAAATACACAATAAAAATAGAACATGTAGCGAGAAAAAGAAAAAAAGATAAGAGGCTTAAGAGATAGAATGTCAGAGATGAATGTATATATGCAGAAGAAGAAAAAAAATAGTGAGAAAATACTCAACATTCACCGGTTCCTTAGACAGGGAATGTATTGCTTATATAAAAGACAAAAAACTGAAATATTAAACTATTATTTTCAACAAAAAAATCAACCTTACGTTAGGAGATTCATTAAAGAACGATATCAATGATTAACAAAAGAGTTGTAAACTATGTTATAACGGTTAATAGTTTGACGACTCTGTTAATAGATGATATATCTTTAAATTAGATATTTAAGTAAATCTGTTGTTAATTGTGAATTTTTTCTCAATACTTCTTGACATTGATCATTAATCAAATGTTTATTTTGTTTTAATAAATTAAAACATTTTTGTTTAATTAAATGTGAATATGATTCATCCATTTTAATATTTGAACATAAATCTAAAATATCGAATACATTTTTTTCTGTAATTCGATCTGTTTGTTCATCCAAAAGAAATAATTCACATTTTTTTAATAGATCATCTAATAAAAATTTATCAGCTAAATGAAAATATTGTAAACAATTTTCATCGTTAATATTTACTTGAGCTTTATACAAATAAGCACGTAATAGTTCAAAATCGGTTTCATTAATAAAATTAGACAAATCAATTTGAGATGATAATGATTCTTGAAAATTTCCATTAAATAATGTCTGAAAATATGGTGAACGCGCAGCAAGTATACAACGATGACAATTGTATACGGTCGAATTAATTTTAATTTGAATGTCTGATAATGTATTCGATTGTTCAAGAATAGATTTCATATCAGAGAGTAATTTTGTATCACAATCATAATCTTTGAATGGTGTAAGAGGTAAAAGAGTTGTCAATGTTTGTTGTTCATTATTCAATTTCTTAAGTAACCAATCATGTCTAAAAATAAATAAAAATAAGATGAATTAGTTGTAGAAGTTAAAGTAAACTTTGCTATGTCTGTTTTCCTTTTTATGATATGATGACTCCTACAGTTGCTTACATAGTATTAGATATAAATTATTTTAAACACTAGAATAATGTTAACTGTTTCTTTTTACCTACCGAACAATAATAATAATTCGTAATGTATCTTTGTTGATAAATTGATTCAAATCTTGAATTGAACAAATATCTAATACATTCATATTTGATGTTAACCATAAATGTTCTTTCAGACATATACAATCACTTGATTTTGTGACAGAATTTCTTCCCCAGAGAACAGCTTAACACAAAACAGAAAGATGATAAATATGAGAGGGAGAGAGAGAGAATAAATTAGTGATTACCTTTGAATGCAAGTAAATGTCCTGGAGGCAATGGGCAATTATTAAATTGCACAACAATACGAAATGTTGTTTGTTGATAATGTGGATGGAGTATGTAGGTCCATGACCAACCCCAACGTTCATACGTTTCAGTTGTTAAATAATTTGAATACATTCGACGTAATAGACCAAAATTTTCTAATAATATTTCATTTGTATATTTTTCACTTTCAGTCTTAAACGTATTGATTGTATTCGCATACTTTGGCATTTTTATCAAAGAATAACGGAAAGTTGCTTTATATCCAAATCTAATCTCTGAAACAAAATTGGGCTCATAATCTTTTCGAAGTATGAAGAAGAAATATATTATTATGATCAGAACTGATTACAACAAGTCTTTTTCTTCATCTCACAATATGAATACATACTGCAAAAAAGTAAAGTTTGCCGCTGAATGTCATCTTTTTTGACAAGCCACGTGGATAGGGATTTTCATCGAGCAACATACTTATTTTATGACTCTGAAACACAAGTACAAGATTAAAACAAGGAAACGTATCAAATTTAGAATTGAGCAAGTGGTTTTTATCATAAGTACTGCTTGGCGCTCATAATCTAGCATAGTACACCTTAATTTGATCATTTCCGTATAAAATTACATTGGAAAATTGACATTGTGACTATAACTTTCAATCAAATTTCATGTGACATATAGTATGATGGAGAAAAAAACTTAGGTGATCTTTCTCCCTCATAAACAACAAACAGTTCTGAGCAAATGAAAATAAAGCATATGGACCTTTACTATGTTGTTAATATATAGTCACTAGCCTACATGGTTCTGAGTGACGTTTTGCTTTTGTAGGTAAAACCAAATCTTTTTTTATATGCTCTAACTTTAGCTTCTTTGCTGAAAACTTGTAATATATTACAGCGTTCTGTTATATTGTGGCGCACTCTTGTGTTTCGTTATATTTTTCTCTCTGCTTACAGTTTGTTCTTATTGCTTTATATTTATAGTTAAGTCTCAATAG